TAAAAAATATATATATTATATAAATAAATTTCCATGACAAATTTCATTATTTTGATTTACAGATTCATCCAATCATCGTTAGGTATTATTTTATCTTAATTGAGAAGTCAGTCAAGATCATAGCTTATTATCCTTTCAAAGTTATTAATTTTTTACCCGAAAACAATGAAAATTTATAACCATTAATTTTAAATTTTACAATCAACATAAACCCTGTCAGTGTATTACGTCTAACGAGAAATATTTCCCAAGGTGCAAACAAAAAAATCACAATAAGATTTATCGTTATCAGATCACGTTTAGTTTAAACTTAATTATATATCTCAGGGGATTACCGTTATTGCCGGCTAATCAAATGTCAAATAAATTTCTTCAAACGAGGGTAAAATTGGTATTCGTGGTGACTTTTCTTTTGTAACTTCTATCCAAATCGCATTTCAACAAGTTGTGATATTTAAAAAGAGATTCATCAAAATATCAATGTTCTCAGAGCAAATTTTTCTCTCGTATAATTTTTTTATTTAACGTAGCGCGTATTCCAAGGTCGAAAGTTAACGACCGGTTTCCCTTAATTGGCTCAGAACGTCTGGGATGATGGTATAAATAGTCCAATTTATAAGGATAAGCATCGGGGTACGGACAAGCAGCCGCTCACATCATTGATCAAGAGTGATACACGCGGATAAAAAGTCCTCAACCAGAATGTAAATTATCGCTGGATTTTTGGTGGCCAATTGAAGGCCGGAGGTAAGTCGGCCATATGGTTTAGTAATAACTGTTTACATTGATGCAGCGGACAGAACAATCTAAAGGTTTATCGTCATCTTGATTTTAATTCCATGATTAGCCACTGCCAACGCGACTGATCACTGCTGATGAGCACGTCCTGATCATCAGCTCCTTGTTCTATTTATCAGAAGTGATCATCAGCTCCTTGTCTTATTTTAGTTATTTATCAGAAGTGATCATCAGCTCCTGGTCTTATTTATCAGAATTGATCACTGCTCATGAGTCGCTCATCAAACCGTCAAAAAGTCGTTAGGCTCTCGCGTCAACGGAATTGCCGCGGGCGTTTGTATATACGCGTTCTACATGGCGAGATGGGTAGAAAATTGAGGTAGAATGAATCAGGTATGAACAGAGTAGAAATAGAGGTATGAGTTGAGAATATGCCCGGGTATGAACGGAGTAGAAATAGAGGTATGAGGTGTTTGGGAAGAATATGCCACGTTGACGGGTATGGAGTTGGCAAAGATAGATGAGGATACCCTTGAGAGGTAAATATATAAATGATTTGAATACATATACGCAGTAGACATATACTGTAGATGATATGAATTCATGCAGTTGGTAGATATTTAGATGATAATTATAGATAAGACAGGTACATATAGTAGTATACATAAATTTGAAAGATATAAAAAAAATACTCGTAGATATCCCGATAACTAGACTCTGTCTCATAGTAGCGTTATAGCAACGATTGGGTTCGAATATTAATTGAAGTGGTTATTATAGTGGCCGGCACATTTACTCACTTCAATGGTAATTGTGTAAATATGATCCAGCTTAGCATTATGTTCCGGCTTGCGAATACTGGTGAAATGAAATATTCTAACTGTTATTTGTATTGTGACATTATTTAATTAATGGTAGCACACACAGTAATTAAAGAAATAATAATAAGAAATATAATTACTTTAAATAAATTTTACAATATGATAGGATTCATGGCCGACACTATGTGTCGACCAAATTAGGATTTTCCAAGGCATTTTAAATTATATAATAACTGAAAAGGTTCTGTACTAATTGCACGTGCATATAGCAGAAAAATCTCAATTTATTGAAACAAAAATTGTAATTATATATAATTTGTGGCCCAGTTAATTTCAAAATTTTTTAACGATAAATGTTGAAGCAATTAGTGTTATAAGATGAAGTAATTGGTCTGATTGAATGCTCTCAAATGAACCCTCCAATGTTTTACTAATGTGAACAAAAATGAGAAGAAAATTCAATGGAGACATCAAGTTGGGTCTTAGTTAGTTTTCCTTCCTACATCAATTCAACGTCCATCTACCTCATCAACATGTCCATCAAACGGCTTATTTATTAACCCATCAACTGGAGAGAATATCATCCAGCCTCATCTTGAATGCCTGGACACGTAAAAAACCCGTGGGTGGATTTCTTGCGGTTGGTTTGCATGTTGTTCTATAATTTAACTCGTTTGCTGTTGCCTCTAAGGTATTTTTGCGGGCATCCACAGAGCTTAGGCGGGCAGGCATATGATTTGGTTTTGGATAAGTTTCATAATTATGTTTCGCAGTAAACTTGAATCAACATGTTCATTGGTAACCAAGAGGTTTTGAAGCAACTACATGGTGTTATATCGTGATTTTAAACCACGGGTTCGTTTAGTTGAAAGACAAGATGGATCAATTTTCTGGCAGAACGAACGCACTATCGGCTGCTTGCTAATCACGGGGAATATTGATGAGGGACGACTGAGTTTGAGGAGCCTTCCTACTGCGCCTAATTCAAAGTTACGACCCGAAATGAGAGGAAAAAAACGTCGGCGCTCATTTCTGTGGTGCGTACAAAATTGAAATCTCCCAGATAAGAAACTCAATTGGGCGTCTAAAAGCAATCCCGATAAGCTCAAGCGAAAGCGGGCCAGCGATATAGCTTTGTTTCAGTGCATTCCTAGCGGACGACTGAGGTTTGTTAAAAGCCGTTGAATATTTCAAAGGAAAATGGTGTGGGGCGGTCGCGTGACTAACCCCCATGGCGGAGTGTCAGGGCGAAGGCTGCGGCCACGCTAACTTGTCTCGCACTCACAAGTAAATTATCGAGCAGTTTTCTGGATGATGAGTGCTGCTTTAGTCGAGGATATCATTCGTCGCTATAGGCATTCATTTGAGCGTCAATCTTCGCCATAACGTTCCGCTGCTCATATTCACGAATTCAATGAAGCTTCTGAAACAAGAATAAGTCGAGCCTTGCGCACGACAAATGCAATCAATAAGTCGGACAACTGCCCTCTTATTAGAGACGGCTGTTTTCGCGGGTACAATCTTACAGATTGTCACTTGCGTGAAGGCAAGACCAATTTACTTGTCTCTGAACCCATGAATGATGTACGAGGTGTTGGTTTTGCTCGAGAACTAAGCGCGGGTCTTTAGGAACACTAAAACAAACGCTCTGAGCATGAACGCATTTGAATGCGCGCATGCGTGTATACAAGCAGCGGCAACGGTCGTGCCAAGATCGCGATATAGAAACTGAGCTCAAATTTGTCGCCTGACTTATTGCAGCCGAACATGCGCGCTGCCAGATTATATTTGTGACTGAACTCCTGGAGGGTGTTGCCCCTGCTTCTCCGTGACCTTATGTGGCTACATTTGTACAGCATTTTTTTGAGAGAGAAAAACGGGTACAAGTAAGTCCAAAAAACTTTTGTTCTATACGGATCAGGAGGCATATTTACTCACAGCAGAGAGTATCGTACGAATAGTACTTCTCACTTATGATGCACATATATTTTCTGGAATACATTTTTTCTTTCTATTTTACAGTCTTTAATATTCTTACATTATTTAGTGGTAAATTTAGTCATTTGTAAGACTTCAAACGTCAAACTTTTCAGGGATCAGTGAAATAAAGTTTAGCTGCTCATGGCATTAAGTCGCTCATTTGACATTCTTCTATTCGTTACTTTCCCACCTTTGTCATCAGTCATATGAATAATCTGGAACAATTATATACAAAAGAATGAAATACACATGAATTTTGAATCCAAACTGTAACTGTTAAGTCCATGATAGCGGCAAAGTGGCAGATTTGCTTGAAATATTGAATAGATCGAACGTTGCAATAAAATATTCTATCACCTAAGTAAACATCAAACATTTACGCTGAGCACAGGAGAGGCTCACGCTTACAAATCTCGAAACGCGAGGGACCTTCCATTTCGACGGATTTCATCAATTGGAATGCCGAAAAGAAAATGTCTGCCAATGCGTCAAAGAAAAGTTCTTTTGTTCGTGATTTCAAAGGCGCGCCGCTCGAAGTCTACACGACGTCGACGGGTGTTCGAGTCGAAGAATTCGTGTGCGTCGCCTTGTAGATTTTGGCTCAAAAATGGCATGGAACAGCAATTCTTGTGACGGCGACACAAGGCTTGTGACCGCCAGGCTACAGGCCATGCACATCGTCCTCCAACGCAAAACTTGATACACTCTAAAATCCCAAGAGCGACTGGCAGCGGGCAACGTGGACATGCATGACGTGTTCTGCCTAGTAATTAGCGAGTTATGCTCTAATGAAAGGCGTTCAGCACCATGCCTAGGACTTTTCTAATAGCGTGAGACTACGGGACTCTTTCATTGCTATGACTTCCTAGAACGTTGAACGAAACGCCATGGTCTCATCCAAACTAATGCCGACAGCGGCGCTGCAGGATGATAGTTCTGGCGACGTTGGAAAAACGATTCTGGTTCTCGTGCGTGGGATTGCATTTTTATCGATGCAATCATCAAGCACGATGTCACAGCAACAAACTTGTGCTTTCTTAGACTTGGATGCAGCAAAGTGGAGAGCAAACCAACCTCCGAAAGGATGTCATTCCACGGTAAACTAATTTAAAAGAAACAAAGGAAGGGATCCGAGTGCCTGATGGTGTTAGCCTAACAAACACTCCGACCCTCTCTTTCCAAAAGAGCTTTCGTTGGCCCCAGGGTTGAAAATCTTTTCTCTTAATTGTGAATTTGAGATTGAAATGGAATCCAAAATATTTTTCTCTAAAGTCAGTGGGACAAATTATAACTTGAAATTAATATTAGAATTACACACGGATGGTTCACGGATAAGAAAGACGTTTTAAAAATAGGCCCTAGGTTTTTTCGCGAGTACACGAAATACATCAAATAAATAGGAATCATTCATGTATACCTGGTGTAGTTGTAGAGGATGCATGATCAGAGGTCGATGCTTACCTTAGAGTCTGGTCCGCCCTGTTGACAAAAAAGAGCAGCTTTAACAACAGCAAAAAGTTTTAGTTAACAGTTCTGGCCAACTCTTTATTTTAATTATAATTTACCAGAATATTGCCAGAATCTTATCGATGTTAAAAAGAATAATTAAGAGTAATTAAACAATTTAAAGCTGCTGTGTTTTATCACAGGGAGATATTGAAAAAGAAAAGGTTAAGAAAATTCGTGAAATATGTTAGTAAATTGAACATTGATGAGGTTATGCCTTAAAAGAAGTTGAGGTTTTTAATCCGAAAAGTGACTGATCGCGTGACTTTTGAAAGTGACTTTTAAGAAAGCGTCACTGGATAAAAATATGATTTAATTACACAAATCTTAATTTCCACGAAGTTATTTTCTAAAGTTGTCAAAAATGTATGTAGTTAACACTATCATCAAGCTGCTGCAAATTCAACAAATCTGTATCATTAAGATTTTACTTCATTTGAGTCATTAAAAATCCACTTCGACAATATCTGTTGCGGAGAACTTAATCTCATTAGCAAAATAAATAAGAACTTCAATAACGCTAGTCGACAAAGCACAAATTTGCCGATTACATTAATAATTTCGGTGACTGTATAGTGCATACATTTAGTGTACAATTTAGGTGACTGTATAGTGTATAAATTTCGTGTTCAATTTCGGTAACAGTATTACGGTAAGTAGTGAATACGAACATTGGTAATAAAATTCACCTAATTCCGAATTTCGCCTAGAACCCGAGTACACGGTGGCCACAAAAACAAGGGAAACCTGAGTTTCCCAGCGCCAGTGTTATGGGGCCCGACAGATGAGTAGCCCAAACAAGAGCCAATTTTATGCCATCTTGCCTCAGCCACGAATAAAGGCAGGCTAGGCCTGCCGAGATCCGCTGACAATGGGGTAAATGCCAATGAAAGCATAATTACTAATAATAAAAAATTAGGCTATAGAAATGTCCGAGGGTTTCAGTGCGTGAGAGAAGAATTAGACGACATAAGCGGTATACCTCGACAGCTCTCAGCGAGGTATTCTGGCGCTGAATAGAATTGCCTGAATTTAGGAGTATGTGCCAGCGAAAGAATAGAGGTAAGTGGATATTGGGCTGAAAACTCCGAAAATAACATTCATTCTTGTGTGAAAATTCAAGTAGTAGACAGCAATGTATTATTATTATTGTGCAAATATTATTGAATTTTACATACATCGCAATCAAGACATGCCATATCATGTTCTGGAATCTATATTTTTACAAGCATTTTGCGCTCATCATTTTCTAACAATGACAAATCTTTTTATTCATTTCTGTATTCAGGTGCAGTGATAATCTATATTAATTAAGATAATATTTTTTAGATTTATGCGATTAACTTATTGAAGAATCTTAATGGAAAATTCCTAAATCATTCGTATAATATTTCAATAAGATGTACGCTGATCGAAGCAATTTCTGTACAACAATTGCAGGAGTGAGCAGAAAAATAAAGCAAACGTTATTTAATATTTTTTAATTCATAACGTACTTGTTAAACAACTGAGAACATCTATAATTATATAATTCTTGACTAATGACAACTAAATACAACACAATTTAATAATCACGAGGATATTCAGTAAGAGAGGACTTTAGTTTTGAAAGTTTTACATAGCGTCATTATTGCAACACGTGATAAACGGAGATTGATCAATAAATATTTTAACAAATCTAGTCAATGTGGAATTCATCTCTTTCCCGAGAGAGATAATAATAATTAACACTTTATGCAGAAAACGCAGGTCTGAAAAGCTTTTTTAACTAATTATTATATTTCCTGTTTAAAATGCAAATTTCGTAATATCGAGAGCCTAGAAGCAACCATCAATAATGATCTTCGCTCTAACTATACTCTTCCGAGAAGTCATTTCCGTCTTTACTCATCGAAACAACAAGTGCAAAAGCCAAGCGGTATAGGGACCAAACGCAGAAATAAGTCGTATTAGTAAGTCTGTAAATCTGCTTCTGTATGAACACTGTCATTATGGTGACCAATGAAGTGTTTACTAATCTTTTCTGCAAATCCCAGGGATTTCAAGCATCGCTGCTTGACTTCATAAGCGCGGGAAGAACTGTCCAGTGTACATGTATTCTAAACTCTGGTTAGGTACAGCACAGAGTTTCTCACGGTCAGAATGGAAACTAGAGAGCATCAGCAGCGCGATTTTGCAACATTTCATCTTTAGATTTAATTCAATTGCTTAAAATTATGAAACTGCGCGTGAGTTTTGTTTCTACTAAATTTTACTGCACTTGAGACAACACCTTAACTAATTTCGGATACATAATTCTTTCCACATTAATGTTCGGGCTACGCCGTGGTTCACTATAGTTTCGATATCGCTACGCCAAATCTGGATGACGAGTCTCTTTCTGTAAATCTTGTGAGCTGAGGCAAAGCAACGATATGATCATTCGCCAAGAATTTTCTACGAATTTATTTATGCACACGATAACCTATCCATATTCATCAGTAGCACATAATAGTCTTATCTACTCCTATATCCTCCCAAGATCTTCCACCACCAATCCATCTCATTCACCTTCATCCCAGAAGAAGTTCTTCCACCTTCGCTGCACCTGGTCATTGTGGGAGCTTTTGAAAGGAGGAAGTCACCGGAAACGATGAGAAGGAAGAGCTAACGTCTCACAAGAAATTCTTTTATCTCTGACGTGAGGCCTAGAAAGAAAGCTTCCTGAACTTGCCTGTTATACAGAGAGCTATTTTGGCTTAGCCTTGTGTTACGAAAGAACACGTTGATCAGTTATATAGCAGCTCTATTCCCACCTCAGTTGTTAGCCTCCTCGCAAGAGCTTTTAACATTGTCGTTTCATAATGGAAGTACCTTCCGAACAACATAGATACTCAAAGAATGATTTAAATAGATACTTCCAGGCAGTGCAGTGCATTTATAAGTCTTCACTTGTGCCGGGCCAGGGAAAACGACAGCTCTGTTTCAAATCTGTACATTTTTGCTTCATTTAATTATGTTCAATTTGATTTATACTTTGGAGGACGAGGCTGATGGAAAAATAATACTATTTAAAAACACTCCCGAATTGATAATATAAATGTCAACTTTGTTGCAAGTCAAAGATTAATGGTAAGGATAAGCGGATGTTTAAAACTTTTTTTTTCAGAATCTCGCAATTGAACATACAGGCATGCATTGCCGAGCACAGCTATTATTATAAAAAAAATAAACGGATTAAATAATAATAATTTAATAATAAACGGATAATAAATTTAAACTTCGAACGGATAAATCATTCTACCAATGTATACTTTTGGTACTCCCAAAAAATTTCTTTAAGAAGCATAAGTAATTTTTTCATCATCAATTACATAGACCATTTCAACCATAGCAGAAATTGGTAGAAGGTATAGTGTACAAAATTGTTTTTAAAAGTTTAATATTTTTATATATTTTTCACTTCTAAACAAAGAACGTCAACGGCCGGAAGGAACGTTCCACATCAACGTAAACAGAATTGCTCTGTTCTACAAATTTGAAGTCCAATATTTTTTTTATATTTCTCAATTATTCTCCCTCTTCTCCGCCAAACTAATTTGCAGACGACCATCGCTCAAATGTTAACACTGAGTAGCTGGCACCGGACATCTCACCAAAGCAAGCGATCAGGCGCATCAGAAATCCGTGCGTTCCGCTCACCTATATAAGGTGCGGTAGCATTTGCCTCTGGCTATCAATTTCTAATCTAGGCCGCTAATCCTTGCAAGCCTCTGGATTACAAAGGATAATCTAACGTCCGACCGCTAACAAGCCTCCGATGAAGCTTCTGTGCCTGGCTGAGGTCAATGCAGCACTCAGATAAATGTGTGAGACATTGTCACAATAACGATGAACTTTGTAATTTTGTAGCACTAATACGCTAAAGCAGCGTATTAGTGCTACGTCCGCTCGCGGCTCGTGCTTTGGGTAAGAAAGTGAGTCACGATTTAGACTATATAACCCAATAAATTTGGGCGCATCTGTTCTGTTCGAGGCGCTTCCATGAAATGCAAAACGGCCACACGGCAGAGCCATCAGCACCAGCTACCGACGGATAACTCTATTAAAGCACCTAGAATATATTAAGCTCGACTTATTCACTGTTTTACATGAATTGCGTAGGCGGTGTTAGTCTCACCTTCCAATAGGTTAATAATACAACAACAGCGTGGTAAAGGGCTCTTAGGTATTATTTAAATACGTAATCAGTGAAATGTATTCCGAGTAGTTAACTACATTAACCTCAAGGTATTATTTGAATTACTTGAACATATACTTACTTACTTGAATTACTTGAACATAATACATATTTCGAAATATGTATTTAAATATTTTTAAATTTTACCGGAACTTTTATTTTATATCACTGGAACTAAAATATTAATCTATTTACAGGAATTGTGCTCATCACTGCAAGGAAATTTTGCACAATAATGACAATCCTCTTTAAAAGGCGAATTTCCTAGCGTTCATTGTGTCGAGAAGGAGTTTTTTAGATTCCAACTAGAAATTGTGGGCTTCGATTGCCACTTTTCCTGAAACGCAAATAAAGTCCCAATTAATTCGCTATTTTCAGTCTTTACTAACAGAACATTTAGAGTTGTTATAAATCAATTAATTATTCTATCTGCTTCATTTTCATTGTATCCAGCTGTGCAATAGAGCCATTGTTGTTCACGCGCTACTGCACTCTAACATATTTTCAAAGCAATTAATGCGATCATTTGCATTCAATTTCGGAACTCAGCAGAACTGCATTTAATCTAAATCTCATTACCATGTATATTTAAATAATGAGAATTTCGGAACAATAATCTACCGTCGTTTGGGTGCAATACTCGATTGATTTAATTGATCAAGGCTCCTTATGTTTTTCCAACACTAAACGTTTCGCCTCAGCAAACGAACGAAATCAACCCACAGGAGTTTGGGTGCTGCGGCGAGCATGCGTC